CAGTCTGAAAACAAGATCAAAAAGAATTTTTGGCTGATATAAGGTTTAAAACTTGGTTAGGTGGACAGTTTTTGCAGTGCAACATGCTGCTGACACAGAGGTGGTCAAAGATTTTATTTATGGTGGCCATGGCCACCCCAGGCCACCCCCTGGCTCCGCCCCCAGTTGATAAACTACAAGCACATAATCTGGCATGATTTCTGCTGAGTCTGTCAGGTTTGGGGTTATATAGGCTACAGGTGAGAACATGACATTGTTTTAAAATAACTGACACAATACAGTTTCTAGATGTTCTCRCTCCGTAACACATTTTTAAAAACTGATTTCTGTGCTCCTAAAATGAGCAAAGACTGAAACCAACCTGTGACAAACACAAACACCTTTAGTAGTGGTTGAGGGCTCAGAGAGGAGGACTGAAATCATGAAACTAATTGAAAACCAGTCCTTCAGGCACTTTTTGTTTGCTTTGTTTTCGAACAAAAAGCAGAAAATCTGAAACGATGCTCTCAAAACAAACGGTGCACGGCCCAAACAACAAGACCAGGACTGTTGGTATCTACAGACACATCTGTACAGATGTTTCTACATTCAACTACTGATTAAAGGATGAGGACAGAGTCTCAGTCCAGGTGAGATGGTGGTCTCACAGTTCAACATGTGTAGAGACCTGAGACAACCTGGGGTCTGAGTCTGCCTCGAAGCGGTAATGGTATCCGTCCCACACCTCCCTGCAGGCGTCCCGCAGGTCGTACACACGCTTCTTAATGCCCCTCCTGTTCAGGTACAGCACAAACAGGAAGATGAGACCAACGAAGCCCAGGACCGTTCCCAAGAACACGTATGAGGTCTGCAGGGCCAGTTCTGCTCTGGAGTCCCTCTGGTAGCAGCCCAGAGTCCGAGAGCCCACAGACAGGATGGACGTGTTCCTCAGGCTGGCAGGGAAGGCACACAGCAAGCTTCCAGCATCCCGGACTCGCTCCTGTGACCCGTTGAGCCAAGCAGCAAACGACTCGATCCCACAGGTACATGTGAACGGGTTTCCCCGCAGCAGCAGAGCCACTCGTGGCAGCGAGTCCAGCTCTCGCAGGGCCTCCTCTGGGAGCACCTTCAGGGCGTTGAGCGTCAGGTCCAGCTCCTCCAGGTGCTCCAGGCCAGAAAAGGTTGAGTTCTGGAGAGCCACCAGAGAGTTGTTGGAGAGCCGGAGCCTCCGGAGACCGCTCAGGTGAGAGAAGACCCGAGGGGGCAGGTAAACAAGGCTGTTGTCGGACAGGTCCAGGACCCGCAGGTTCCCCAAGGAGCTCCAGTGGAGAGAGATGGCCAAGTCCGTGACCGACGAGTGGTTGTAGAGGGCCCGGCTCAGGTTGAGCTCCCGCAGGGACTGGTTCAGGACTGTGAAGGCTTCAGGGGCTACGACAGACAGCTGATTGTTGCTCAGGTCCAAAGACCGCAGTCGAGCCAGTCCAGCAAACGTGTGGGCTTTAACCTCGCAAATCCTGCAAGAACCCACAGTTTGAACCAATCAAACAAGAGAAACACCTGAAGGAAGCATTATAACAGGTGGTGTGAGAGGGCTGCTGTTTGTAAAGTTACACAGTCTAAAGTTACCTCCAATAGTTTGGTTTTATTTAGACTTTTATAAGAAAAAAAGAACAGATTTATTTTTCAGAGTCAGTTTTTCACCATATGATTCATACATTTATAAATGTCATAGTTTATAAACTAAATATTTAATTTAAAACCAAACTATTGGAGGTAACTTTACAAACAGCTCCACATTCAGGGTCTTACCTGTTGTTGGTCAGAGACAGGGTGGTCACCTGGTCCAGACCTCGGAACGACTCCGGACCGATGTGTCTGATCTGGTTCCCAGTGATGAACAGGGTCCTGGTGTAGGCAGGGACCCCGGTGGGCACGGCCCGCAGCTCCTTGGAGACGCACTTCACGGTCTGCGCCGCCTCCGAACACTCGCAGCGCGGCGGGCACGGCGCGTGAACGGAGCAGAGGAGCGCGCACAGAGCCAGGGCGCGCGTCAGGGCCAGCATGGCGCAGAGAGAAGCCAGGTCCGGGTCCAGCAGACACAGAACCGGGGTCCAGTAGAGACAGAAGCAGGAGGAGTGAAGCGGTCAGCTCCTCTGCGTCCTCAACTCTCCATCTGTCCAGAAAGTTCTCCTCATGTCCATGAGAACAGAAGTGGGCTCGTTCAGACCACTGGGACTGTTTGATCCTCTCTGCTTCCTCCTCCAACAATGGAGCGGTGCGAAGATCTGCTGGGAGGGGCTTCCCTCCTGCTGGTCCGGGTCCGGATCCACAGATCTGAGCGCGGAGGAGGAGGAGGAGGAGGAGGAGGAGGAGGTGCAAACACTCCCATCACCTAAACCACACTGTTAACTTTTACAGTTAAAGGGTTGTTTTGTAAAATAGCTGATAAATTAAATTCTGGCCTTTTTAAACCTGGAATGTGTAGAAGAACAGCTCAGCTGTAGCTCCTCACTTTGGAACAATAAARTTAATTATTACAACTTGAATTGACTGTTTGTCTTTAATGAACCACAGGACACATTTTAAAACAGAAATTCATTGTTTCCAACAACAACTGATGAACATTTGGAGCCAGCCCAGATCTAACTGACCACCACAGCTACCTGACCTCAGCAAACACAAACATGTGACTGACTGACTTACTTACTTATTTACTTGTTTACTTGTTTATTCACTTAATGACTGACTGACTGACTGACTGACTTACTTATTATTTACTTACTGACTGACTTACTTATTTACTTGTTTACTTATTTATTCACTTACTGACTGACTTACTTATTTACTTGTTTACTTATTTATTCACTTACTGACTGACTTACTTATTTACTTGTTTACTTATTTATTCACTTACTGACTGACTTACTTATTTACTTATTTATTTACTTA